CATGCTGCAGGGTTGCCGGCTGGGGGGTCGGGGTTGCACTCCAACGCCATAGCTTCCTGGCGACAAGCTTGCTTGTCTGCAGCATAGGTGTGACTAAAGCCCTGCGGGACGAGGGAGACGCCACTACTGTGGCTGGAGCTGTGGCCGCAGCAGGGCATGCTGGCGAGGGGGCGCAGGAGCAAAGGCCCAGCGCATGTGTGACTCTGGGGTGGGAAGCAGGCCTTCCTCATGAGGCAGGGGCCGGAACACAGGCCTCTCGCCACTTCACCAGCTGGACTTGAGGCAACTACGAGAGGGGGACAATGTGGTCAGATTTTTGAGCGGTGGGGGCGGGGCGGGGTGCAATGTAAGGGTGAGGCAGGGGGCTGAGGGAGATATGACCCTGGGGATGGAATGGGGCAGATATGAGAAATCTATCAAAGAGGGACCTTCAGGAAATGGTGGTGGATGGAATATGGAGTTGGGGGACAGGGATTTCTGGCTTGTGTAACTGCAGAGGCGAACGTGAGGCGCCCCGGTGGCATTGTGGTTAATGCCTTGGGCTGCAATCACAAGGTTGGCCATTCGAAACCAGCAGCCACTTTCTCCTCAGGAGAAAGATGGGACTTTCTACTCCCACACACAGTTACGGTTTGGGTTTTGGGAAGGGGGAAGGTGCCTTGGCCAGGGCCTCTTTTCCTCTGCACCCTCACTCCTCGGGAGCGATCACCCAAACCCCAAGTCCCTGCCATGGCGTCAGTGCTGACTCGCGGTGACCCCAGAGGACAGGGTAGCACCGCCCCAGTGGGGTTTGAAGGCTGTAACTCTTTATGGGAGTAGAACGCCCCATCTTTCCCCCAGGGAGTGGCTGGTGGTCTTGAACTATGGGCCTTACAGTTCTCAGCCCTATGCATAACCACTGGGCCACAGGGCTCCTTCAGGGGTGAGGAGGCACCCAAATGAGCCCTGGGAAGAGTTCGTGTTCCAGAAAGTGCCTCTTCCCACAGCTCCCGGAAGCCCAGTGCGATCTGCACAGCAGGGTTGGGGGCGGCAGGCTTGGTCTCTGTGAAAAGGAAGAGGCCCCCTCCTTTTAGATCCAACAGAACCACTCTCACAACGGTTCCACAACAGTGACAACACTGGCGAGCCTCTGCCACTGCTCCAGCGGGGAGCATGGCCCCTGGAGGCCCTGGGCTCGAGCAAAGGTTTGAGGCCAGCTCCTTCACCACGTGCTGAGCCGTTGGCCTGGTTTGAGCCCCCCGGGGCAGCACCCCGGAACAGAGCCGGTGGCTTGCTTCCATCAAGGCGGCAGCAGCCTAGGGAGCTCGGTGGAACACTGAACCCTGCCACACACAGTCAGAAGGAAGCGACCGCAGCACAGGGTTGGTTCTGTATTTTTCTTGTGGACTCGGAAGGATTTTCGACACTTCCCAGGAAATGACGTGTGACTGGAAGAACATCCTAGCTCGTCTCTGGGCCTCGGTTTCCTTGTCTGTAAAGTGGAGAAGGTGGAAGTGCCTGTCTCTGAACGTGGGAGTACCGGCAAGGCTCCACCGTTGCTCGTCCTAAAACAGTTGCTTCATAAAGGTTGCTTCATCTCTTCCTCCCTGAGCTGCTCTTAAAGCTCCGTCTCCATCCAGAACCATCTCCTGCTTCACATCTCATCAAAAGTGGCTGCCGGGCTTTCTAGACTCTCCTCCGTGTGCGTGTGCGTTCCCCACTCTGCCTTCCCACTGGCTGCCTTGCTAGTCACCCACGTGTCTCCTCCTTCCCACCAGATTCCGGCTTTTGGGACCTCAAAGCCAGGCTTTCTGGTGGCATGGTGGATATGAGTTGGGCTTCAATCCACAAGATCAGCAGTTTGACCCCACTAGCCACTCCTCGGGGGTTTCTACTCCCATAACTCACAGGGGCAGTTCTACTCTGTGCTCTGGAGACACTGAGTCCGCCTGGACTCGATGACCAGGAGGTGTCGGGTGGGCTTTCCTGAGTGAAACTGGAGCCCCACTCGGTAGCGGGCACAGAAAGAACCCTCACCCATTTGTTGAATTGAATTGGCCGCAACACAATCTACTCTCTTTAATTTTCCTCAGTAACAAAAAGATATTTCCTGCAGGGAGATTATTTTGTGAAAACACATCGGAATGCCTGTGATTAAAAGCCAGACTCATCTGGGGCCTCCTTCGCCAAAGCTGCCTTCCCCCATCTGTTTGGAAATGCAAATGTATTCCGGTCCGGATTAACCTGCCAGATAAATTAAAGGAAGGATGTGGAGTCTGAGGACAATTGCTTGACAGGAATTGGCTTTCTTAGCATCTTGCTTGGAAATCCAGGATTTCTGTTTGATCTCTTTGCCTGGGACACAGAAAGCAGCCCCTTCTTGTTTTGTAAGCTTATGTAACAGGCGAAAATACGAACAATTTGGGAAACAGCCAGGTGTCCTAACTTTGAAAAGAATGACGAAAAGTCACAAGACTTGACCTTTGGGAACAAAGCGCTCATTGAAAACCGTAGACCGCTTTAAGACTTCCCAGGGAAGCCACAGTGGGTTGGAATTGCATGGCTTCCTGGAGCTCCCCTACAATTGGAATCAAAGTGTTTCAAAGATATAAGTCCCCAAGAACCAAGAGACTGCAAATGCAAAAGGAGACAACAGAAGTTGAACCGCTAGAACAGAGTTCCGTCGGCCGCAGCATCTTCGGAGTTGAAGGATCAGATCTAGCAGAGCAAAGGGAACAGAAAGCCTGGGAGGCTGACGCCAAGCCAAGCTGGGTTTGTCTTACAGAAGTGCGGATGGGCTCGAATTGAGTGCAAGGTTTTGCAGAAGGCGGGAGTAGGGGTGTGTGCACGGGGGCCAAAGATGGGGATGTTGGTTGTCAATGTTGCAACTGAAGCAGTTAGATCCCCAGGTCCTTTCCAGTCCCCATAATCAGGGGATTCCTCATTCATCCACCTATCTTTGGGATATGAAGCCCATCTTGGCTATTACCCAAAAGGTTGATGATTCAGACCTACCCTGTGGGACCACAGAAGAAATACCTGGCAACCTGCTTCCAACAACAGAACAGCAGGGGAGGGAGCAGCAAGGTCCCCAGGGAATGATGAGGGTGGACACTGGGGACAGGGCGTGGTGCCCCAACAGGCTGCACTGGAAAACACTCTTAAAGGCCAGCGATCCTTGAACTAACTACAAGCTTTCCTTTCTTGGTATATTTTAATTTGTTCTTTGTCAGTGGCTT